AAAAAAAACCAAATACAGCTAGTTAATCCGAGCCATATATTGCAAAGACACAAAAAACGCGTGAGAGATGATACCGAGATCACTATCACCCCCGTAGTATACCTCATTGATGACACTGACTATCTCCTGCACGGCAAGTTCAAGCGCCAATTGCTGGCCCATGTAGAGCGAGACGATGGCCGTGAAGGGCTTGGTCACGGAGCCATGGACCCAGCCGTGGTCCGTTGCAAGAGCGTCGAGGGTGTTCATTTGCACATCTATTTCAGGTCGAAAGATCTCGCCCGTGTTTGTCACTTAGGTATTTTACGTAGGTGATTCTTATGCTACTTCTTGTTCCATGAAAGGGTGGTATGATGATGCTGGAATGACTGTTATACTGGTCATGATGTCATGTCATGTGATGGTGTCGGGACCCTAATTCGATATTCCCCCGTTTCTGGTTTGTATTTATCTTCGGTTGAATACACTGAAGCGGAAGCTTAGATAGGGTCAGGATATCTGATTGGAGAAATATTGACTAGATATGTCAGTGGTGGTAAACCCCCCCCCCTCCCTTCTTCCATGGTTCATCCATGTCCCCCGATCTATCAAATTAGTATCTCTATTATATACTTACTACCTACTGGAAGTAGAGCACTTGTTAATTCCCCTTCAAGTTTGCCCGCATAACCTCCACCTCCTCTTCTGAAAACCCCAGTACGCCCGTCAAATACCCCTTCACGCCCCCGAGGGACTGCTCGACCGTATCCAAGAACGCAGCCATCGCAAGAGGTCGCACGCTCATCAGCTGTAGCCACCCGGCATTCTCTGGGGTCACAGCGCCGGAGAGGGTGGGAAAGGCGGTCATCAGCATCTTTCGAGCAGGTTCGACTCCGATGCGACTCAGAGCGAAGTCATGGACAATAACGTCGGAGGGCGTATCAGCCAGCAAGAGGATTAAAGCCGCCAGGACGCCGGTACGGTCTCTACCGGCTATGCAGATTCGACCAGATTTGTTAGTAAATGGGCATAGACACATACATATATACATACGTTCGTTCAAGAGAAAGAAACACTAGTAAACAAAAGCCAAGCATCATAGACACATACCAGTGCAATGAAAAAGAAACGGCTCCTGTGGCCGATCCCGAATATGCAAAAACACCTTTCTAAAAATCGGCGTCGAGATCTCTATGATACACGTAAACATGTTCAGAAACCCCGAGACGCCCTGGTCCTCTTCTTTGAAGTCTAGCGGGTTGGTCGGGTCCGGCTCCCGGGTATACGGCTCCCAGACGGTCTCGACGCCCTCGATGACAGGACTAGGCGATTTAGTCCGTTCATCGGGTCTGCGCAGGTCGAAGATGGTGGTTATCCCTACTTCACGGAGAGCTATTTTGCCCTCGTCGGATACTCTGGATAGAGCACCCGAGCGGTAGGCGTACCCCGCGCGTAGGCTGCCGCTGCTGATGTCACGGATGTTGAAGAGTCCTGGAATGGTGATGAAGGGGGATTGCGATGTTATGGCGGTGACTGTTTCGGGGGGGATTTCGATTTGTATGTCGGTTGCGAGGATTTCTTGGAGGTTGTTGTTGTTGTTGTTGGGGGCTTGATTGGGGTTCATTGTTCGGTGTTGGTTTAGGGTTCTTTGATTTTTGGTACCGAGATGGCTGGAGATGTGTTAAGTATATGTGATGGTGGTCGTGAGTTTTGTATAGATTTCAGGGACGGCCAAGGCTATTTATAGGTTTTATCTATGGGGAAGTGCGGGTCTTCTTCATGTATGACTCTGCTTTTATACGAGGTCTGGGCAGGGATGTGCTCATATACATGGCGTGTGTGGACTTAGAGGGTTTAAAGAAAAACATGGATCAAATGAGAGATGAGAGTCTTCAAGACCACAGCAAATTAAAATTAATTAGCATATTTCTTCCTGAAGTACATCTGTACTGTATACCTGCAGTCTGAAAAGTAACACCTCATAACCTCGACAGCCATATTATCTGCGCGGATCCAACCTCTCATAACCCCTGTCCGCCATTCAATAATCGAAATACGCCTCGCGGCTCGTCCTGACTATAGGTAAACGCATTCTGCCAGTAAACACACCGAGCATTGCAAGCTGGGTCACGCACCCCCGTGATATTGTTCATTCCTATACTAACCACCCGACTCTCAGGACCATATATCTCGAGGGGCGGGGCTAATGGAGAAGTCGGCTTTCCCGTTTGAACGAAACTTGTAACGTAGTCTTGCAGGATGAAGGCCACCGTCTCGTTTGTTACCTGGAAGAGAGGACTGTCAACTAGAGGTTTGACGCCTCTAATGTAGAATGAGTAGGGATGGTCCATCCAGTGCATAGCGGGAGGGATAGAGAACACGTAGCTGTAAGTGCTGTTCTTGTATGCGTGATTCAAGTGGTATGAATTGCACTGAAAGCATATGTCCGAGAGGACGGAAGAGACTCGCTCAACCCAGCCGCGGTATCCGTACTTGCCGTCCAGGATTGGTGGGTATAGAACATTGACGATGGTCTCTTTCATATCTTCTGAAAGGTCAAGGAAGTGCTCGTCCATGAGTGCGAGTAGACCCCATTCTTGAAAACTGGATGGAGGCGTGTACATGAGAGCTTCATTCAAGGTATGGCCATTCAGTATCCTCACGCTATGATCGAACTCGCCACGCAGCAGAAGTTTGGCCGGGAGATCGGAAACAAAGACGCCGTCCACCGCCGGGCCATAAGTAAACGTTCCGTAGAGTGAGCTTGACACCTGATAGGCGTTGGCCGCAATAAGTTTTTCGGAAGCTAGCTGGCGTGCCTCCTCGATGGAGCTGACGTTGAGGAGTTCGAGATATCGGCGAAATGTCCGTTCCTGCTTGTCTGTATCATAGTTCGGCTCCCAGGCGGGACTTTGCAGGATGGCCTGTTGGAATAGGGAAGGCCCCTGAAGCCCTTGGTACGCAGTGAGCTGATGAAGTATGGACCCTGATCCGGCCGATACGCCCATGACAGTGACTCGGTTGGCATCACCGCCAAACAGATGAATATTCTGAGTTACCCAGGTCAAGCCGAGTCGTTGGTCATGAAGTGCCGCGTTGGGGGTTCCTTTCCGGGATACTGTGTGACCCGCAAGCCAGCCAAATGCACCGAGCTACGGGGTTGTCGTCAGCGATGAGGTACCTTTTTGTTTTCGCCTATCACGAGTGAGAAACTTACCCTGTAGTTCAGAGCCACATAGATGACTCCATCCTTGTCCTGCTGTCGACTCCGTTGAATGAGACCAGATGGATCAACATCACTCTTATCGCCTAGTACATAACCTCCGCCATAGAAATATACGATAACCGGAGCCAAACTTTCTTTAGGTATCGGGGGTCTGCTCTGAGCTCGGTCAAATACTTTCTGTGGAACCACAACATCAAGGAAAAGACAATCTTCCGAGATTCTGGGGTCCTGGATGAGTGGAACTGGGTAGGAGGAGACATCGAGGGAGGCATTAAACGTTGAGTTTGTGAAGTAGCTTTTCAAAAACTGAGGCATGATATATCTGCTCCATATCGGCGTAGCCTGTGGGCAAATCCTACCCAATGCCCCTGTCTGGACTTCAGCGCGGTTCACCTTTGGCGGCAACGGGGCTCGAAACCGTAGGTTTCCCAGAGGTGGAGCGGCATATCTAATGTTACTGAAGTTGTAGAGTCCAGTGGCCTCCTGGGATAGTGTCAGTCACTAATACACTGGTCTTTATAGTGAACTGTGCCTTACGTTTAGCGAGAATGCTTGATGGAGCTCATAACCTAGATCCACCACAGGCAGGGAAGAGACAGTGGATATATGCCAATACGTTACCAGAAAAAACGTCAGAGCGGAGATAGAAAGATCTATAATCATTGTAGCAAATTGAAGACAGAAATGATTGATAAAGCATCAACACACATATTAATCAGCTAGCGGTATAGGACAGAAATATTGAAGTGGCTCTCATTAACTAGAAAGCAGCTTTCTTATGAAGGACTCACTTACTTGGCCTCCCATAGTAATAAATTGACTAAATCCCGACGGAAGGCCACTTACCCGGTGATAAAGGTTGAATGGTAGCATGTGCCCTAAGAGGCAATTGTATCCTGGTGAAGCTACCTCGCATTGTCCCTAAATTAACAATGATGCAGATCTTGCTTCCGGGATAGACGAGTCAGGTTGCCTTTCGACACACTAAGGGTCTAAAGGGTTCTGTGGGACCTATGAGAGACTTGTCTAGTCTGCAAGCCTCACTGCTTGGCTGGTTAGGTTGTAAACAGCCAGAAAAGAGAAGTCCCATCTTTGAGACGCATGTTCAGCTACCTGTGTCACTGGTAAGGCTAAAGTCACTGGAAGCTCATGCTCTGCTTCTTCAGTAATCGCTCGTGTACCCTATAGTAACCCTCCGAAAACCCACAGGGATGTCGAGGAACTATGATGTCTTTTAGTTTCGACAGGGAATATTGCTCTACCTGCGTTGAACATTGTGGTACCAGAGACAAGTACGAATGTCCTCCGTCGAGAAGGGATAAGCGTAGTGAGAGTATCTCCTCCCACGTGATTAAACTTGGTTATAACAATGGCCGATTAAATGCCAACATCGGACATAGCGTAGTCACTTCTTCTAACTCCACGGGTTAGATCCGAAGTCACACCAATTCAATCCCAGATCATACTATAGATCTTCATTGCCTCATGACATCCAATACACACAGTAGCCAGAACGGCTCGATGTTCTCCATCGGAACACACAGCCTCTTCCTCTCCATAGGCGGGGTCGCTCGTAAAACCGGGGAGCCACTTGTTATCTTTCTCGCAGGCGCAGGAGACGTCGCTTCGTCATACGTCGCGGTCGAAAGGCTCGTGGGCACATTTGCCCCCGTTGTCCTTTATGACCGTTCCGGGCTTGGACGCAGTCAAGATGGGCCTACTAAGCCAACAGCCACGACAGCAGCCGCTGAGCTGCATCAGCTGCTACACAGCGCGAACTTTACCCCTCCTCTCCTCTTAGTGGCTCACTCCTATGGTGGTATTGTTGCGCGCGAGTACCTCCACCTGTATCCGGAGGAGGTGGCCGGAATGGTGCTCGCAGATGCATCGACGGAGAGGCAATCCGAGCTCTTAGACGATCTAGATCTAGATATCAACGCTGTACTGGGTGACCTCAAGTTTAGCCAGGTGACAGGGTTACGTGACAGTGCTCAACTCTCTCGAGACGAGTGGAGGGCTCGTGCAGCAGACATTGCTCGAGGAATCCAGACATCCCAGGCTGAATCTGCCGCTGCAATAGAAGTCTGTAAGACACTAGGAAACAAGAAGCAGTATAAGAACCAAGCACTAGGGGTTAGACCCCTGAGTGTTATACAGTGCCGTGGCTCTCAAGACTACCAACGAATATATGAAAAGGGTGTGGAGGCGGGCAACGGTACTGAAGCGCAGCGGGCGGCCTTTCGCAGATTGCTCGACCGCTGGGACCAATATGATCAGCGTGCGCAGAGTGAGCAACTCCAATTGTCGTCCAATAGTCGTCTTACCTACCTTCCCAACTGCGGCCATCATGTCCATCTTATCCGTCCCGATGTAGTCGCGTCTGAGATCCGATGGGTGAGGGACCACGTCTTGGAGAAAGGGTCCGCACAGCGGCTTTAAGAGTTAAAAGGCTCGCGAAGTGCGTAGAATTTGAGTCAATACGATAGCAAGATATCTGGTAAATTGGAGAAGGTCGATCGCAAGTCTTGTTGTATTGATTGAATGTCGGGTAAAATGACCTACCTGTCTTCCCTCTCTATATATATATATGTATATTGTAGTAATGATCTCCTCCTGCCTTTTCTTTTATCCCAACGCTATTCTTGTGCATTTATTCCCAAATCCTCAATAGGTATATCAGTGCCACCATAGTCTTGACAGATTGCTGGAATTTTCATTCATCGGTTAATTCTTTAATGTGTACTTTTTGTTCCTCGCTTTTGCCCGTCTGGTAAAGCAAAGCGATCATCGTCAACCGGGAGATCGGAAAGTATAAGATGAATTTGATATGACAGAGTCAGAACTATACCCATCTAGACAAGGGGATTTACCATTCTTTCACATGTCATTGTACTCTTCACACTGATTGAGATCATCGCTGAAGGTAAATTAAACCCACCTGGAACACGCTAGAGAGGAATCATAGACCGGACCGGGGACCTGCAGAAACAAACATAGGTCAGCAGCACGCCCTTCCAAGAAACAAGCGAACAGCAAGTTTGTTTGAAAAGGATAGTCCTACTACTAGGAGGAGTAGTTTCAGGGTCCATCCTTTGGCCTCCCGGATCCCACACTCAGCCCTTAATTCCGTTCGTCGGATAGTCGGGCCAGCAGACCTAACGACTCTTACTTACCCCAAGGTAGATACCAAGCTAAGGACTAAGGTACGCGGTGTAGGGCTTCGGAATTGTCCACGAGTAACCCGATCAGGCATATGCTCCGGGCGCAAGTGCCTTGGTCTGTCCACACGATTGGGCCATCGGTTAATGGCATGATTGCGGGTGTGGGTTTACTACTAGTAGTAGTACTGCTAGTAGTAGTAGTGCGATCGCACTTGTGGAGGGTTGCCACCTGTTGTTTCTTTCTTTGCCTTTGAGCTCTTCGGTAAAGTCCCTAGCGTGAAAGAGGGGCTGAGGGGAAGAGAGAGACTCCCGAGCGAGCCCTGTTACGTGGGGATTTCTTACTAGCTTCGGGCTTGACATGACGTATACTAGAGAGGAGAGCCCTTCACTCATGGCGTTCACTCGGGCAGGAGATCGTCCGTAAAATCGTATATGCCGTCGTCATTCATATATTCATATATTCATGTATATATATTATATAGTATATCATAGTACAATAGAGGGTATCATAAAACTAAGCATCAACAACTTCATCCGGGCATCCTTCCCCCGGCGCCTCTAGGCTCTCCCCCAGAAAGAAGTCCAGCTCGCTCGGACCCCCTTGCGAGTGCTCGTTCTCCGCTAGCTGCTCCAACAAACTTAGGAACGGGTCCTTCTCGGACGAGCTTTGGTCTCCCGGCCCCGCTCCCGCCCCCGAGGCGCTACCCTGGGACTGAGCGTCCGGCGTCAAAGCTGCTCCCGGAACGGATGCTTCAAAGGGGAAGGTGGCGTATTGCGGTTGGGACGGCGGTGTTGGTGCGTTGAAGGGTTCCGAGAGGAATGCGGTTGGGGAGGTGTTTACCCCGGATGGAGAGAACCCGAGACCGCCATCTGGCAGGCTCAGGTCAGGGCCAAGCCACGGCGAGGGTGATGGCTGGGGTGCGTTGAAGCTGATCGAGTTGCTTCGACCGGCTTGTGAGGGGAGGGTTGGCGTAGCTGGTGGTATCGCCTGATAAATCGCTCTATTCCCGTCGTGGGCATCCACGCGGTCAAAGCGGGCGCTTGGATTCATCGTCAGATTGAGATCATTAAGCCTTAAGAACAGAGAGAACTCACGGGTCATCTATATCCACTAATCTTACATGTGCTCCTTCAACCGCTAATCCGGGATACCGATCGAAGAAATCCTCCAGATGGAAGACCGGTGCAAACCGCACCGGTCGCGCAGCTAATGTTCGCACCAAATCTGCATGACATGCCGAAATGGTTTGCAGCATTTCCCGCTGATGCTGAACCCCCGAGCAGGAGTGACGCAGCCATATTAGCTGGCTCATCTCACGCGCAAGGAAGTCAGCACTCGATGCGAATACCTCACCCTCGCGGCCGTTGTAGTGTACGCCGTGAATGTGGACAGTGCCAGCGGTGCAGACACAGTAGGCTATCAAGTCCGGCCATTCAATGCGCGGCGCATGGCGCGCCAGCTCAACCAATTCGGCGATGGCATTGGCGTGCGAAAAGCAAAGTGTGGTAGCCTCAATCTGCCATGACTGATGCTGGCCCGTCCCGCGGAGCTCAGCCAGGTCAATAGGAAGAAACGGTCGATATAGTAAGCAATGGACTAGGTGGTATATCAACTTGCTGAGAAGCAGAAGCGTGCTCTCTGGGTGACCAAATAAGGCCTCAATTGAGGCGAATAGGTCCTGCGTGCCGGCCGCCCAGATATCAAGTTCCTGACGGATCTTGGACAAGTTGGAGAGAGCATGCCAAGGAAAATGCGAGTCACCTTTGACACCGCCGGCAGCTAAGTAGCGGTGGGTGACGCCCAAAATTCGAGTGATGTCGACTAAAAGAGTAGCAGCTCCTGGGCCCTTGCGACGGTCAGATGTGAACTGAATGTTAGGACCGACCGGGTTAAACCATTCGCCAGCTTCCGGTCCAGTGGAAGGTAATCGTAACACGATGGAATGATCAGCGATGAGACAGGGCCGTTTAGAGCCACAGGTAAGAAAGCGGTCCATTGTATAAGCCGTCCAAAAGAGACGACGCCTCATCTCGCGTTCTGCACTACGCGACGGGCTTTGAGCGGGCAGTTCCCGATACAGATCCAAAGCCAAGACCATAGCAACAGCATTGCCTATATATGTTAGTTATGGGGCAAGTACACTAGGGTTGGGACACTTACTCAATGCCATGTAGGCCTTTCTGCCATAACCATAAGCGAAAAAGGTCTGTGATAATAGTAGGAGAGTCTGTAGTCCCTCAATGGAAGGATCATCAATGTCCACTAAACGTCGAGCTTGGCGAGCATAGTCTAGACCTTGAGGAGAAGGGTTGAGAACGGTATATCTGCGCTATGTTAGAAAACTTTCGAGAGGACAGACAGACTGTGACGGACCTTATTGTCAGAGCATGGATAGCCATGGACAAACACATGGGCAACTGCCCTCGCTGATGTAGCTGGCGGGTGGCAGCCTCATCCAAGATAGAGTAGGGCTTGCCGTGAAGTCGGGCAAAGTAAACGTCCAGCATCGAGTCAGGTAGCCTGTGGCTCTGAGAAGGTTGCTGAGGCGCTGGAGGTGGAGGGAATGTATGCGATGGAGGCGGAGGGTGAAAGTTCACCTGTGCCGCAAGTTGCTCCATTGACTTAGTCGGGGAGGCCGAGGAGGTGGGCGACAGAGGATGATTGTCATCCTGGAGACGCTTTTCCAAGCCATCGACGCGCTTGAGCAGGGCCTCCAAGACATCTGTTTTCGGGCCACGTTTTTTCGGTACGGCATCTGAAGACGTCCGTTAGTGGATCAGGCATGAAGACGGCATCCTCTGTCTGTTGTGTACCATATATACAAGGGCACTGAAACACCTTGCAAGCCTCACAACTTGGGCGCAACCGGTTGCATTTGATCTAATAAAAATTTAGGATTGGCTGTTCGTGACGAGCGGCAGGAGGTTTCTTTATTACCTTCCTCTTCCGACATGACTTGCAGTTCATCGACTCTCGCGGTTCGGCATTGACTCGGCGGGGAGTTAGCCGGTCGATGCTGACCTGAGGTCGGGACATGGCCACATTACATGACATATGCCTGTTTGCGCGGATGGACGGGTGGATAGACGGGAGACACGAGCGCGAGATATAGAGGGAGGAGTATAAACAAGATTCCTGACAAGCATTGAGAAGCAAAGGGTTTAAAAGGAAAAGAAGAGGAGATTAAGAGTGAGAGAATGACCCCAGATTTAAACGCAGTGGAAAAACGTGGAGAACACGGGTGGGACTACACTGGATGAGGGCTAGCGTGACGGAGATACAGCCGATGCGGGGATGGTCGCTTACAGGCTTTACCAGAATTACCAAAACCGAAACCTTTTCCCATAGTTGACTTGCGTCTTGAATATTTTACACTTCGAGTCTAATTACCATGGCGTTTAACAAGCAAAACCTTCACATCCTTTTGACTTAAGTAGTGGTGCAACCTTAGTGATCTGCAAGATTCGGTTAAATACCTTTTATCCTCGACGGGATTTTCCCCTGTCCATCACGGACTGCGTCCGGTCGGCAATAACATGATATGCATCCGCACCTCTTCACGTTCATCGTCCCCTTCCAAATGTACAGTAGATTACCTGACCAGGATGCGTTTGTCGCACCATCGCGTCTCCTAGTCCCAATGTAGTATCATCTCAGAGCGTCCCATACGAAAACTGTACGGCTCCGTCCCTCCGTTAATTTAATTAAATCATCAGAATGTCATGTTATGTTCTGCAAGAATCCTCCCCCCCCCCCAATTGAATTCAACTTACTCCAACCAGCCTGGTTGCAATGTATTGGTTCTGGCCTTCCCTCCTTTAACCCCCTCCTCCCTCCGTGAAACCGGTTTGCTTCACTTAAGTCCGATTCATCTATCAGTACTCCAATATATATACATCAAATCAAAATACTCGACCTGACGCCATTCGCACAAAATCAAACGGCACATTCTGACCCACCAGCAGTCGCAGTGTCTCCACAGTTGTCCATGCATTCACATCTTCAATCCCATAAGCTGTCCACCCCGCACGCACAGCGACTCCGACGGGATCCCCCGTACGTTCACCTCGAGTCAAGTCGAGGTATACTTTCCCCCGTGTAGATGGTGGCGAGGCTTGACCACTCGTTCGGTAGTGTCGCAACAGCGGCTGGACCAACAACGACTTCTCTGGAGGCAGCGCGGATACAATCACAAACGGCTGCTCAACCAGTTTCACGGACTGGATCGACGTGAACGGCTCTAATCCGTCGGCCAGCGGCCCGCTCGCCCGGAACCCCACCGTGTAGATCGCTCCAACACCCAAGCTGCGCAGTGCAAAGATGGCCGCTGATGCCTCGCTCTCACTGCCTGAGAGAATAATCGCCGCTCGGCCACGATATGCCGACGGGACATAGTCTCGGGTTAACGTTGCCCGAATCCCCTTCCATGTCGCATTCTCACCAACCAACTGAGCATTCGGTGCAGCGCTTTTTGCTGCCACAATCGTATCGACTAATCCAATTGCGCGGGCAGCGTCACTAACGGCTGGAATGCATGTGGTGCTGCTCGATATAGGCGGATGTACTGACGCTCCGCCAAAGGAGGGCTGGGTGATCACGCGTTCGATGGAACCCATGGGTCCACGGTCAATTGAAGTCAGCGTATGCGGCAGGCTCAGTTCGTTAAAGCATTTTTCCATAAACATCGACTGCGGCGTTGAGCGGAATGATCCAATGGCGTACAGATCGCGCTTGGGTAGCTGTCCCATGATATGGAGCGCCTCGTTAATCTCCGCCGCCGTTAGTTGCCCCGGCGCTGCAATCATCGGCAATAACGGATGCGTGATGGGTGAGAATACAGTGTTGAGCGCCCGCGAGAGCTGACCCATCTGTCCCATGTTGACAGCCGACAGGAGGGGGTACGACCCATGGGCCCTCTTGATCGTCGACCGAAAATACTCGAGTTCGTAATTGGCCTCAACGGTATTGACCATAGCAATCATCTTCACAATATCCGCGTATTTGGCGCTTTCTGCGAAGATCCGCGGCGCCTCGGGAGATGTCCATTTCCACGTTCCTGAGAAATCATGAAATGCTGACATGATGATGCTATTTCCTTTGACTTCCGCTAACTGTCTCCGGATATCCTCCGGAAGCCACAGCTCGACATCTATATACTCGACACCCCACTGGATTGCCCGGCGAAGGTACCTATAAAATAGTCCTGGATCATCCATGGGGAACTTACCATTCTCCTTGGTGCATCGCGTGGTGAAGATGATCGGCAGCTCTGTATGCTGCCGAAGCAACATCAACTGCTGGCCAACGTACCGCAGGCTGGGTACCCGGTTGGAGATACCCACAGGTGAGGGCTCAACCAATAGATCTACACGGATCTCGACCGCATCTGAACCTACCGACAAGATGTCGAGATTGGGCAGTGCCGCATGGACGTCCGGAAAGGTTGTGGAGATGAAATTCGTTCGGTTTTTGGTCTTCAGGTCTTGATGTGGTCTGGTTTGACCCAGAATCAAAGACAAAAACCGGGTCAGGTCGCGGCGAAAGAAAGGACTCCGAAGGGAATACAGAAACTCATAGTCGCAGCGGTCGGTAAGTGATTCGTCTGGAAAGGAACCATCATCCACACAGTGCGTGTTGATTAAGATGCCGGCAGGCTTCTCGCACCCTTCCAGAGCACGACCCAGATGGTCAGCCAATATCCCAGTCACGACAGCATGACTGCCCCGCCCGAGTGTGGACAGAGATGATTCCGTGGTCCATGGCTTGCCCAGGATCTCAGCGACAACTTGGACGATAGTGTCCTGATTGAGACCATATACAATGGCGACGGCACGAGAGGGCTCTGGGGGCAGGTTTTGGGCAAAAGAAGTGATAGCAAAGGGAGAAGGCCCTTTGATTGCGGTAATAGGGGAAGGGGTTTCAGGTAAGAGTGTCATAGCCACGGGCTTATGAATGGCTGTCTGCATCATCTCATTGCATGGGCAGTACTCTGCACCTTCATACTGTATCCGAAAGATGCCGAATCTCTAGGGTAGAAGAAAGGAGATGAGCGGCTAATCCCACCGTAGCGCCAAATCTGGTACTTGAAATCAAAACAATAATATAGACAACCGACAAGACACTGAGATCAAGAATGAGACCCTCAAAGAAGCATTGACGTTCACACGTAGGCGAGTGGTACTTTAAACCCTAGCCAGACAATAGAAGGGAGAGTGGGCTTTATCAGGGCAGATGGGATGGAGGAGATAAGCGACTAGTGTGCAATACCCGAGATGTCAATAGGTAAGGGTCAACGCTACTAAATCGAATCACAACTCGCCCAATAAGTACGAGCAATCGAGTTGGTTGAGGATTCTTGGACCGGGGCGCTATAAAAAAGGACAAAAGGAGAGGCCACAATCACATTTGCCAATACAACGTGAGTAAGACGATAGGACCAGGGTCGTGAATGAATGAAGTTGGTAAGGTGCTCTGCTTCCGACGGCTAAATTTCCCCGGAATTTCAGCTCCGCACTACGGGGAGCGGAGTCGATTTCTCCGCCAATCAGACCGGTCTGTTGCCCATGGCCGACATCCATCTGTAACCTTAGGCAGCCTTTGTATGGACAGTACACAACCTCAGTACCAAGGAGTATCAGAGGTAGGCGTCATCCACTCGAGAGGTTTCTATGCCGGCGAAAAATTACTGTGGGCGGACTATCGTCCGGGGCCCTTAGATCACATCTCAGCAATTTCTAGTCTGTCTGGGAATTTCATGTCCTTTCTTGGTGCGACCCAAACTTGCGACTTCACCTTCATTGCGTACGGGGCAGATACTACCAGAAGATCCAGTGATCCACAACCTAAAGAGCTATGATACGAGGAAAAAGCCTTGCATGGTGTTATCTGTACCGTCTCTCGTTGGCCCGCCGATATCCACCAACATCATTCCCTGGCCGAAGGACATTCTTGGGTGGTATCACGCATGGGCAAATGAGGGCCTATTTGTCCGCCAGCCACTCGAGAACGATAAGCTATACAAGCTACACATCCTACTCATACATATTATCGTCTACCTCTGTACTTTGTTTGTATTGTCTCGGAAGCAGGCCATGATTAATTGAGTAGGGAAATATGAACAGGACGTGAGCCACCAATATGTCAAGAGAAATCGAATACATAAAACAATAGGATCAACCAATTGAAAGGGGTATTGAAAGCAACACAAGAAGTACCAAAACAAGGCAAGTTAGAATAGGCGGGAAAGCACGATCATGTGCAGATCCTCCAAAGATTGCGAATATTAAATGGCTGGATCAGCACAAAAGGTGTATGTGCGCATTTGCATACACAGATGAATGTATGCAATGTATGTACCTCCACAACTCAAAACCGGAGTCAGTGGTATGCCATGGTCATAATCATTACGGAGAGACGGTAATGCGTAGGATATTCTGTATGTCCGGTGCACCTCTTTGCTCTCTTGAGATGCAAATGCAAGGATACCTTCAACTCATCGTTCTGCGTAGTAAATAAGTCGCCACGCCCATTTTCTCAGGGTGCTGGTATGCGGCGGCAGTCATGTAGCGCGTGAGCCAAAGAAGCACACGCTACCGGTGCCCAAGGACGTCATGGACAAAAGTTTCGAGTCCACAAAAGCAGGTATTTGTGGGTATGACCTTCATGGATTTCTGCAGCACATATCCACATGACGCTCCGCATCTGCACTTTGCGAGATGCGACCCGAGGATACGTGGCATGCGTACAACACGGGATATGCCATATCCAATAGTAACTAGAGATATGCACTCCACCAGCCATGTTTCACCTTTATGGGGGTGAAATGGCCAGCCCGTTCATGAGCTTAGGCAGTGGCTTTCTACGAGCATTGTTTGCCGTCTTCGATACCCGAGGGGCTCCGTGGATCATGCGGGGCTCTTTCATCAGGCTGTTATCGAGTTTTGCTGGTGCTGTAGAGTAGGTGTCAGCGTGGGAAAAGTGGCAGATTGCGTAACAGAGACGACGAACCTCTAGTGACGACACGGGTATAATCCCCCGAAAGACCTTGTTGGCCCCTGCTACCTGGACCGAAGGAACTAGCACTGGCAGTTACCCAAAGATGATTCGACGTATCCGAAAGGAAATCCGTCTGCATCCGGCTGGAGAAAAAAGAAGTCCGTCCACGATTACGTTTGGATAAGACAATCTCATCAAAAAGCGCCATTCTTGGGTCCTTGGACTTGGGATTGACCCTTTCTCTTTCACTGATGAATTCATTGAAGCCTGATAGAATGTTATTGACAAGGACCCTGGAGACAGTAGGTTGGTTTTAAAAATCATGGCTTACTTTGTGTTTGCTGCAGGACGGCAGCATATTCAGCGTGCTCGCCTGGCAAGCTTTTCAGGAACGCTTCCATGTTGAAATTATAGGTCAGGCCCGCTTTCTTCTTATCACCGGAAGCAGGTTGTAAGAACTTCTTGTAGGTATAGAGCAAGCTAGCGAAACACCTAACGAATGCGGCGCGAATCTGTTCTGGATGGAATGCAGCGGGACACACAAGACAGATCTGCAAGGCGCAGCGGTTGTGGACAAGGGTCTTGCAGGCATTACACTTGTACATGGCTTCATCAGCCCTTTCATCACAGATTGCACAGATAGACTTGTCGTCGCATGGCAGCACTTGCAAGCAATGCCCCTCCACCCAACAGGTGCCTTCGGAGTTGTGAATTGGTTGCGAGGAAGGCTGGGGAACAATGGTGGACGCAGCAACAGTCGATTGGGCATAGACAGAGGGCGCGTAAGTTGACCCAGAATTATATTCCGTATTCAGGGTTGTCACGGATAAATTCGAGGCGTGGCCTAGGAAAGGAGCACTTGGCCGTCTTGGAACACCTCCTCTTAATTCCACACCGAACGATGAACTTCTTCGCGATGCAGCATCGAAATGACCTGAGCGTTTCTCGCGCAAAGATGCCTGAAGAGCCATCCCCGAATCAGTCCGTGAGGAAACCGGGAAATGGCCTGAAGTGGGAGAACTGTCCCTAGGTGAAGGAGGCGATCCGGTCTTCGACGATCCAGTTCCCGGCCGGTCAGAACCCTTAGACGAATATCCCCTAGACGGAACCTGCTCGTAGCGAGCATGCAGATAAGCATTGAATACGAGAGGCGCATACGTCCCCGGCATCGAGGCCTGGCCGAATGCGCTCGAGTTAAGACTGACGTATTTGGCTAACTGAGTCGACTGCGCTTTGGAGTGGAAAATAGAGGAATTCTCCGACATAAACGCATCGAACGGGAAGGTCTCCACTGCATATGCTGGCGGACCAGTTGGGACACCGCACCGACTGTGGTGGGGGGCGGCCAGTTGAAGCAGCGAATGCAGCTTCCTCCGCTGGTGACGCGGCAGGGGCGTTGGCCGAACTGTACTCTCAATGAGGTCTGCGTCAAGATCCACCAAGACGAAGTCATCCGATGGCAGCTCAACTTTCTCATACCTCCGCTCGATACCTACAATGTAAGGACAAGGAGCTTCGAGAGCTTGGATCAAACGTGCAGGCAAAACAGGAATGAGTACTCCAGTCCACTGGAATGGGAACAACAAATCAACCAGTGCCCTAGTAGCCAAGTAAAGCATCGAAGTATGGGACGACAGGAATATTATACGCGATTCGGTCAGTGCATACTCGAAAAGAATAATGATGTTCGGCAGCGACAAAGTTCGGAATAGTGCATAGAGATCGGTATTTCGGGAGCCCGGCAGTTCGTTGGTAGCTTCCTTTCGCGCAAATAGGCGCAACTCCCGGACCGAAAGCTCTACTTGTGTCTTGGACGAATTGGGGCTAAATGCCTCAGTGCATAGGTTCATCACATATCGTTCCAAGGGTTGCCACATCCCCATCCGCGGAGAGCTTGGAGGGATGCGCTGAATGCTTCCCTCGGTCATGGGCACAACTACTGCTTTCAGCCACTCTTTCCAGAAACTTGTCATGCTTTCTTCCCGCCCAAGAATCCCGTAAGCGCGGGGGATCCAGAATCCCGTGTCGCCGTCAGTCAGGCCTTCAATTTTCGATGCTGCGCCGTGCCGGACTGGGCGTAAAAGATCGGTCATTAAACCGATTTTCTCTTCAACCGCACTGATTTCATCCTCCAGTTGTTCTCTTTGTTCCGACCCTGAAGGCACCGTCGGGAGTTGGGCTAGAAGTCTCGAGAGTTTGGCCCGTTCACTCGCTAGCCTTTCACCGAGACTGGCCGCTAGCTCTCGCTCTTCGTCTGTCATATTGTCTTTTCGCCATTCCTCACAGCGTTTTTCCAACTCCTCCGCAGCTCGCGGATTCAGTGGAATCCATATGATAAGACAGATGGCGTGCAGTCGTGAGCCATTGTCAGTTGTCATGACAAACCCGTGCCAGGTAGAGCGCGGTCTCTGGTCTGAAGAAACAATATGGATATCGTTCGGAAAGGCAAACATCGGGACATAGTCCGGGAAGTTGCCCCGCTGCTTCAGCTCGTCAGACATTCCTTTGGTTGGATACCGATCGAGGAGAACGGGCTCAAAACGGCGTTTCAGGGGATGCATGGTAGGGGAGATCTCCAACGGTTGCGGTGCCGGAATAACTGAGTTGTAATTACTGAGTCGTCGCGAGGTCCGAATAGAAGCTGTTTGAGATTGTGGTTAGCAAACTCGATGCTCTCAGTTCTTGTAATGTCGCAAACCCACCTTGACGAGCAACTGACGGCTGCCGTTTCATACTGTTCATGTCTCTGAATGCCATATGACGCCGCACACTACCAATACCTGATCTAAGCAAGCTAGATGGCTGAGAGGGGGTCTCCTCAGAGACAATCTTCTGTGTACGTAACCTGGACCTGGGGCGCGACGTGGGAGTGATAGCTCCAGCACTGAGACTCAGATCCGACAGGAACGACTCCCGCTCGTTCGCAAACTTAAACAGGGCCTTGTCAAAGTCGAAATCTTCTAGGAACGACGACCCTCTGGGCGATTGATTACCCTTAATGGTCAGACTGCTCCGGTTGCTGCTGGTACCATTCCCGCTGGACTCACTGGAGTCTCCCGAGCGCATTGAGAAACGCTGGAAGGAATTGCGACCTCCAGCCATGGAATTGGGCCGAGAGAGAGAGTCCAAACGGGGGTCGTGTGCCTCCTCCGCGTCCGCATCTTCCTCGATAGTGTCCGCAAGAGCGGGGCCAGGGGAGGTGGCACTATTTGCTCTGTATTCGTCACCCAGTCTTTGAAAAGTCTCTAAGATTTCTGTGCCATCAACACCGGCGATCCAGAAGTAGTCTGCGAGCGGGGTGGTAGACACCTCGGGGGTGGAGGAGGATGAGGAGAACGGCATCTCGTCGAATCGTCGGTAGTCAATCGCGGGGTTGTAATCATCAATCGTCTCAATTCGTGGACTTCGTTACAACATCGAGTGAATCCAACCCTTGACGCTACGAATTCTCCACCAGCATCAACGGGGGTGGTGTGTGTGAAATTCAGCGATCAGAGGTTTCGGAATAGATAGATTGGTAACGACAGTAGGAACGAGAACACATAAGTCTAGAATCGCGACGCTGTCGCAAGGTCGGAAAGAGTTGCTGAGGAAATTCCGAGATGGCAGGAATGGATGAGAGAAGGGAGCAGAAATGAGGCTTTTGTGTTGTTGCGTAGGAAAATTTGTCTGGGGGTTGGATTTCTTAGTGCCACTTGCATTCACAAGAAAAGGAGTAAATGATGGACGGGATTGGATGAGGGGGAAAACAAGAAAAGAAAACGGAATTGGATATGACAATGGAATCTTGGAAAATAGGATTAAGGATAGAGCTTTTTTTTTTAGCTCTTGAACTTCTCTTTTTCTTTCTTTCTGTTCCTGCGTTTTTTCTTTTTTCCTTTTTACTTTTTTCTTTTTATTTTTTTTTTTCGAGAAAAGAAAAAGAACGTCCGATGCAGTGACGGATGGTTGCGTAGACAAGAACTACTAAGTAGTCAATTAGTAGAAGGGGGAAAAGAGAAACGGCGCCAAAAAGTAGTCCGTCTCTTTCTCTTTCCCACTTTCTGTCTCCTCCGCTCCGCACACGCACAACCGATAAACTGTCAGTGCACCACAACTTTCGCACTTGTGCCTGTCTCTTCCTCCCTGCCAGCTAGTTAACTATTACCATTACTATTACAGCCTAAGATATTTAGGGCCAACTGCCAGTAGCTGTAGGTACCCACTTACGGATGCATGTTATACATAGCAAACACAGACACAAAAGGGTAAAAAAAAAATTGATAATAAACATAATTAAAGTAAAATAATCGAATAAATTAGACAAAATGAAAATTACAAGATCATAAACCAGAAAGGTTGGGACGGAGGCTGTTTAATTTGGCCCATATTTTATTAGGGATAAATTAGGTTATTTACATTCCATAACCAAACCTCTTCAAACCGAAAAAAAGAAAAAGAAAAAGAAGAGAAGAGAAACGTAAACAAAAAGAAAAAAAAAACCCCAAAGGGTCAGGCAAGGGAAACAATAAACGTGCAGATACTCCGTACATCTATCAGCTTAAGCCACTCAATAGGGATTCCTGGTCTCCATCCATGCAGGATATATAGCCATCAATCTCCAATGAGGTTCAAACTACTGCAAGTGTACCTCCAGACGCCTAAACTTTGATACATCCCCCATCCCCATCCAACCACCAAACCCTCTCTCCCACTTTCAACCCGCACATACACACACCGCCAGCTCTGACTCTTGGGGGAATGACTAATTTCAATAATAACACCTAACTAACTAAAAAAAAAAAATTTCCCCGACGTCAGGGTGTATTACCCAGACCAGTCGTATAATTTTAGGAAATCCAGGGGACAGGAGAAATATCAATCCTTGGGACCGGTGGAGCCCAGACGTGCACAATTGCTTGGCCTGCCATGGTTCGATTTCCCATTTGTTCCTGCTGGCTAGGTTGCTGCGAAAGAACTACCGTTCAAGAGAACCATGGAAACGCAGCATTACGACTCCCTACTGTGCATGTACCTGGTACTAAAGGGCCGGATGTGTTTCTGTACCTCCCGTCCTTCCGAAAACTCTGAGAAGATGTGCGGAACTGGCCCCGAATTCAGTGTCAGGGTGTGTAACTCGACTTTACTGGGAGGGCCGAAAATAACAATGAACCACAATAGGTCGCTTAACTATTTTTTATAATGCCAATACTGACACTAAGATAGATACCGCTCTTAGGGTTTTTTATGTCTTGGATCGCCCTAGATATTTTCCCGATCGGCCTACATTTCACCGACTCCGTGATTGGAACTATACTCCAGGAGTAAGGTGGTATTTCCACCCCGAGACTCTCTGTACACTAACTGCGTAGTCTCTTTCTGAAGAGGGGCCGTTACTATAAACAAGTTCATCCGCCCTAGCCTACCGAAACTGAGAATTTAGCATAGCGGAGTCTCCATGGTCTGGAGATGACTTGCCTCTCACCATGATTGGCCGGAATTCCCCTTGAGGAGAGTCTTCCATGGAGCCAAAAGGTAGACAGACACTGGGGACTCCATCGCCAACCATCCAATGGAGTTACCGAAAGAGGGCATCTATGTAGGGGCGGGTTCTACCGAGGTTGAAAGCTAATCATGGTACTCCGTACTACTGTATCATATCTGTACATACAGTATGTTGTCCACTGGAGGTAGGAAAAGGATCAGGAGGACATAAACTTGGCTATATCACCTGTAGTCAAGGTGCTATTATTATCCCCGCGGTATCTTACCACCCAAATTGTGGATTACTATTATTCATGATCATGAAATCTTTACAAACTGGAAGTCTTGGCTGGTAGACAATGATCACTATCAGGGTCCCAGTGAGAAAAAGGAGGAGGTGGTGTATCTTCTAGATATGGACAGAGCTGTGGTGTGATCGTTGCTCTATCTACAGAGTCCACTGTGCAGAACCCTCTACTAGTATTATCTGTATCAATGTTGCCAATAATACTTACAGTACGGAGTAGTTAGGAACGTTTGATCCAGGGCTGTGCCGATCGCCAGTGGATGGATCTCAATGATACTTAGGGAGAGTCATCCAAATTTCATCCATGGACAGAGAATGATGATCGGTGAGAAATCCAAACAAAGAAAGGAATGGTTCACCAGGTATAATTGACAGTTCACTGCATTAAGAGTCAGGGATCAAGATAACCAGAGAGAATGGAATCTTCCAGTCACTGAGGCAACATGCAACCAAGAGTTTCTCTCTCCGAATCCAACCGTCCATGCATGTACAGAAGGAGATAAACATTACTGTTGTTGAACCATGAGATGTACTTTAGGCGGTTTCATCATGACTCACAGCGTATTAAGTACCATGTAGATCTAACCCAAGCTGGATCTCCCTGCGCAAACTTGGGAATGACCATCTACCCAGTATTCAACCAGAAGAGGTCTTTGGCCATGAGACTCCACAGACGGAGGGACAGATCTGAAGTTACAGGACCTTGTTCCTTACATGACGCTACTCCCCTACCGGCCTGGTCGACCTGCATTGGCCTGCATCATACTCCGTACATGGCCATCGACATCTTTGGTTCGTCCTCTGAGGAAGAGCGGCCTCATTGTGAACCGCCACTGGTAAGAAGCCTAGTCTTGTCGCGCGACTAGTACCCCCCGCTAGTATATAGTACTTGCTGTCATACAGAAAGTGCCTTGCAGCCTTCACTCCATACAGGCAAGTAGGGTGGACTTTTGACTCCGTTGGCTGGTTATGCGCGGTGGAAACGTGCATCCACTGACAGCTGAAAAAGGGGGTGGTTGGTGCCTGAGGCGGGTACACTATCTCCTCTTTTGGGGAAGCGGTATTGTCGAATTGCTCATAAATACCGTACTGTATGGTATGTCTTCCTCCTACTAGTACTATCTCCACGCCTCTTGGTAGAAGCATTAGATTTGTCCCAGGAATTGCCCGAGCCATAGATATCCAGGAATAGCTTCTTCCTGAACCATGCCACCGTTCACTTCCTTAAAGTCATCGGCTTCAGGTGGGATTTAATAACCACGGTACTGATGATACGATCCATACACCTTGGCACCTTTTTATAGAAAAATGAAAATGCAAAAATATCCGGCAAGGGGTTCTAGACTGCTGACAGAGCCAAAATACCGGTTTCATGATGGATGTTGCGGTCAAAAAGAGACCAATGAGAGTTTGCAAAGGTTGTTGTCTCTCGGCTTCTAGACGTTGTCTGAGTTTACCTTATCGTCAGATAGTTACTTTCCCACCGTCCAAAGTTCTAGCAAAGCTTAGTCAAACCCACGTCACAGGGCCTCGACAATCCATCTCATTATATCATAGATAAGTACATAGTAGGTAGTATACACATCGGATATCCAAATTCGGACAAGGCTGGGGACTTCCCTTGCCATCAAACTCGGCCGTACTTTTGGCTGCTCACGGCTAAGCCAACTAGTTCCAGCCTCCTGTTTGTGCGTGTAACTTAACTACCGCAAAGGAATTCAAATGTGGCTGCGCCTAGATCGGTTGCATCTGTGGCACATCTGGAGCTTGGCTATTCGCCCTGGAACAATCCAGAGCTTATCTCGCTAATTGGTCATCTACCCATGCTTCGAGCAAACTTTCCTGAAGATTGACGATTCCCTAGAGCTTGTGATGATGCGCGTATGGGTTACACCGAAGGATATCCAGGTTAAGCTTCGTAAATATTATGTCCGTCTTCGCGTCAATAAGTTTCCGGTCGTCAAGAACCCTTTATCCCCCATAGTTCCCCTCCACTCGATAGACAATTGTCCTAGAACTGCCCGTCCGTCATGTTTTAGATCTTTCTGTAGGGCATCTAGCCCTTCCTGCTGTCCTTCTTCTTGCTCAACGAGGAACGCAACCTGGAGGACGTCACGTGGGTTTAATGTCGGCGGTTGCGAATCGGACTGATCCGGCCTCTCAAGATCCCAATTCAAGGAGGTTGCTTTGAACGGAGGTTTAGGGTTCAGTTTCGTTTGCTATCGAAAGAATTAGAGCCCCCGGCATCAAAATAAAAGAAAAGCTTTTTGTTTTTTTACCTTCACCACCACGGCTCCATCACCCACATTCTCTAACTGTGCTTCGAGGGCAAAGCGGAGCAGCCGAGTCTTTCCGTAAGGCCCTAGGGACTTGTTTTCGACCTCTAATGGGGATAATTCGGATGATTTTGTCCGAACACTAAGACAAGGCTGTGCAACGAACTGATAGAGTTTGCGAAAAGTTCTCACTCGCCCACTGGCCGCTTGCGAGTCTGATCCAATCAGCGTTTCCGTGTAGCTAACACTGACCGCCAAGATATGATTCCCTTCTTCCTTGAGATCAAATCGTACGA